CAAAAAAAAAAAAAAAAAAAAAAAAAAAAGAAAGATGCATGTATGTTCTATGTAAATTCCCAATTTGCAAATTCTCACACTGGTTACTCTGTTTAGCCTCCTGGGGGTGCTGTGAAAAAGCAGCCATTTCCTAGATGAGACCGGATGAGTCCAGGTCTTCTGGGCCCTGTGTGCAGGTCTAGTTTCCTTGACCAGTGGTTTTCAGTGGGGCTGCCCAGAGCCTCTGGGGTCCATGGAACTCCCCAGACCCAGGCTTCTGGGATCTATCTTTCACAGTAGCGTTCACAGGAGGTTTTGTCTGTGGCTACCAAGGAAAGTTCAGAAAGCCACTGCAGTACCCATCCTGTTTCCCAGAAGTCTAGTCCACCTGATCTGTTGGGACAGGAGCAGATGGTCTTAGTGTCATTGCCTGATGGGACACTCAACCCACCAACCAATGTTTCTGTCACCACGATGCCCTGGCATCAGCAAAAGCTTATATTGGGAGAATCAGCCAGTGCAAAGGAAGGACCAGGCCTCTAATCCCACTCTGTCACCCCAACGCGCTGTGTGCCTGTGAGGCCACGTTATTTCCCTTCTCTGGACCTTATCTGCATCACCTATGGAAAGGGTTTGAATGGGCTGGCCTTGGAGTCCCTTTAATGCCAAAGTTCTGAGGGTTTCAGGAACTTCTATTTAGGTCGTAAATGGGGAACGCATTTGAGAAAAGTTTCATCCAAATAGTTTAAATGAAATATTTTTTTAAAAAAAGACTTTGCTAAGAGTTCCAGCAGGCAGAGTTTTCATGGTTCCTGCAGTTCTTCAAGCCACAGAAATGGAGCATTTGGGGATTAAACTGGGTCCTTAGTTCTGTTCAGTGAGCTCATTGCCAGGAACGGGAGCCCAAGGCCCAGTCTGACAATTCTAGGAGAGGAAGGCCCCAAGCTGGGATGGTCGTGGGCCTCCTGCCAAGCTGGGGCTGCCTTCGCTAAAGGAGCCAGTGCCCCTCCTCATCCTGAGTGAGGATGGATTTGCTATGATGCCAGTCTCTGAGCACAGCAGAGCCCACAGCCTGGGAGTGTCTGGGAGTTGGGAAGCAGCCTCATGCAGATGCTCCCTGTCCGCGGCCACCACCCACGTCCACCTGTGTGCGCCACCCTCGGAGCACAGGGCTCAGCCCCCAGAGCTGGGCTGCCGGAATCCACATCCACACTCCCCCTTACCTACCAGGTCCCCCAAGCCGAGGGGTCACCCCCCTCCAGCCTCTGCTCTGCATCGGTAAGGGAACCTACCTCAAAGGGGTTGTGAGGATGAAATGAGTTCCTCCTTGTCAAGCACTTCGTGTGGTACCTGCACATACCTGGATAAACGGGGGCTGTGATGATTGTTACTATCTAGGCCTCAAACGGCTGCTCTCCCTCCTGTCTTTCCCAACTAGCAGGACAGCCCAGAGGTGAAGGTCTTGCAGGACAGGCTGGCGGCCACGAACTTGAAGATGAGTGACCTCCGCAACCAGATCCAGGCTGTGAAGCAGGAGCTCCGGACGGCCCAGAAGGTATTCCCAGGCCAGGGTTCAGGTCCTCGTGGGTGGGCCTGGGACTGGGAAGGTCATGGCTGGGACAATGGCTTCCATTCAGGAGCCTGGCCCCGTGAGCATCGTGCTGCTTGTTCTGGGTCAGGCTCAGATCCAGTAACTTCCTTCCAGCCCTTGAAACAGACCCATCAGGTGAGGGTGGTTGCCGGCTGCCTCCAGGGCCTTGCGTAGAGGCCCTTGTGGTGCCCGCCCAGCCCTGGATGGAGGAGGACAGTGCTGTCCACCCTGGAGAGGCCCTTAAACCTTCCCTGTGCTATGTGCACCCCAATAGATCCTGGGCACCTCCTTAATAAGCCACCTTGGACTTGGAAGCCTACCAAGACCCGTCTCCTGCCCTCTGCTGTCTGTAATATTAGAAAATGTAAAGGTTGTTTGTGTGTTAAAGGCCCCTTTCAAAGGAAAAGGCTCAGACTTGGGAGGCAGGCCCAGCTGGTTCATTATTTATTTTTATTTACATAGTGAATTCTCTGGCATTTGTACCACCAGCAGCAGTTCCTGCTGGAACCACTCAGACCAGCCAAGATTTCCAAAACAGAGTTCTATTGTGGAAACAAGCACCAGAGACTTGGTACGCTAGATGGGTTTCCGTGACAGGCTGCAGAGGGGCCCGGGGCACAAGCTGGGGTGTGCTGTTTCCACCTCAAAGCCTCGAAGTTGGGCCTGAACACCTCTCTGCAACAGCCACAAAGCTGGGCCCTTCTGGAACCAAACATCCCCAAGTGACATTCGGTAGCCCCTCCCTCCTTGCTGCTCTCAGACATGGCCCCTTGTCAGTGGCTTTGCACGGAGGGCGAGGCCCTGTGGCCATGTCCTCCCTGGAGCCATCCAGAATGATCTCAGTTCTGGGTGACAGGTGAACAAATTTGGAGCAGGTCTTGGTCAACTTTGTGGTTCACTCATCCCAGAATGTGTCAAGGGCAAGGGGCCCCACTTGGGCATTGTCAGCAGTTCCTTGTCTGCCCTAAACATCACCAAGAAGTGCTGGGGATGATGGGTTCAATGCTTTCCCAGGGAGAGCTGCTCTTGGAGCGTGGTCAATTGGCCTTTGAGGCGGGGAGCGGGGGAAGGGGGAAGGTTGTGCAGGTGGAAGCCGGGCCTTCGGGGAGCCCCATGCACCCAGCACTGTTTCTGCACATGCAGCAGCTTTAGGGCTCTGGCAGAGCTCTCTCTCCCGGCCATACTGAAGGCCCCACCTTTTTCAGGTTTTAACCAGTGAGGTTGGGGAAGATGTGAACATCCAGCAGCTCCTGTCCTCACCTGGGACGTGGAGGGGTCGAGCTCAACAAATTCTCGTCTTGCAGAGCAAGGTGAATGAGTCATCAGACTTCTCCTGGCCCTGAACATAAGGCTTGAAATGCCCCCAGAAAGACCCACGCTGACCCACATTAGAGACACAGAGCCCAAAAATGGCCTTTAGGTTCTGCAGAGCGCACTTGCAGGGCTGTTGTTTTACATTCTCCCCAGCCAGCCTGATTTTCATTTGTTATTAAGTGAACAAGCATTTATATAACACTGCATACCAGGCACTGGCGCTCAACAAATGCCAGAGCCTTTGATTTATTTTACTCCAGGCAGATTTTTTTCCCCTGGTTCATGTAAATTTGCGTGACTGTTGTACTTGTAGGCTTTTTCTAGTTTTGTCCAGATGCCTGTAGGCTTTTGAAGGTTTTAACTACCACCCCCACAAAAAGAACTTAGCCTGTCTCCCTCTTTACGCTCTAAATATTTTGGAGCATCTCTAGAGGCTAGGAACAGGAGCTCCGCAGCCAGACTGCTTGGCTTCAAATCTCAGCCCACCACCCACCAACTGTGTGGCCTTGGGCAAGTTGCTTCGCCTCCCTGTGCCTCAGTTTCCTCCTCTGTGTACTGTGGATAATGACAGTGCCTACCCCACAGTGTTGCTGGGAGGACTGAATGAGTACAGATGTGTAAATTGCTTACCGCAGTGCCTGGCATGGAGGAAACACCGTCCGAAGGTTAGCTGTACCAAGAAACCAAGAGTCACACAAATAAGTGTGTCGTTTCCACTATTTGCCAAGTGCATTGCCTTCATTCCCAGGTTCCCAGGTGGCTTTTCCCCTCAGGGTCTCCTGCGGGATCCCTGAAGCCAACACGAAGGGGGAGAGGTCTCTGAAAAACTGTGGTTAACGACCAGTGTGTGGGCTTGTGGTTCAAGAGACCTGAGTTTGAGTCTGGCCTCAGTCACTGGTCTATAAGTTTGGTGCCTTTGGGCAAATCTCTTCATCTCTCTGTGTCGCAGTCTCCTCACCTGTAAAATGGAAATAATAATGCCTTCCTTGTAGGGTTGTTGTGGGTTAAATGAAATATCGTTTGGGAAGTGCCCAGCACAGTGCCTGGCCATAGTAAACACTCAACACATTAGTTATTATTGTGAGTGTTGTTAAGCTGTGTAAACAAACGGTTAAAAGTAACAGTACTGTGTTCTTTAACGTTTAAATGGAATTACCACACGGTGCCACACGAGGGCACTGAAATGTGCTTTCAAAGCCATACTGAGGCCCTTTACCAGGGATCCTAGTGAATTTTGCCCCTGGCTCAGGTTTACCCAACTCTGTTCCATCGTTTATGTTGCGTTGACGTGGAAATCAGGGTTAGAAGGACCCTAGGAGTCATCCACTTTAAACCCAGTGTGATAAAGCCGTGGCTCTGTCGGATGACATCCACCTCCCCTGTGCTGAGGGCTTCACCCAGGCCATTTTGGGGTTTCTCAAAGTTGCCTAATCCTAGAAATCTCCTGTAGCACTTGTTTAAAACGCAGATCCCCGAGTTCTTCCCCTGGAACTCTGACTTGTTGGTATGGAGTGGGCCCCAAGATTTGTCATCCCAAGAAGTGTCTTGGGGATTCCCAGGCTCAGACAAGCTCAGGGTACTGAATTCTCATAACAACATTATGCAGCGTGTTACTCACAGGCCTCTTCACAGGTGAGGGACCTGAGATTCAGAGAAGTTAAGTAATCTGTGCACAGTCACACAGCCAGCGAGGCTTTGAGCTGGTCTCCCTGCTTCCAAACCCTGCCCGCCCTCTGCAGCACCTCCTCCAAGTGGCCAGGAGCCCGTAGCCTCCCGAGGAGCCCGCCCAGGCTTTGGTGGCCTGTCTGTTAGCTCTTCCTGGTACTGAGACCTGCTATCCTTTCCCTCCTGGGGCTACACATCTGCTTCTTGGCCTCAGAGATAGGGTGATTTTTCTCATTTACTTCGAAGTTTCTCTTTTCCAAGCTTAACCTCCCTAGTGTCTCCCCTTGTTTTGCTCAGGATGCCACCGCAGATCCCTCCCATCCCTCCCCCACCCCAGTCCCTCTCCTAGGGACCTCCACATCCATCTGGAACCGTGTTGTCCTCTGTCTAGTGGGGTCTCCTGTCACATCACAGGGCAGCCCCTCTGAGGGTCGAGTCTGACTGCAGACCTGTTGTGGAACCACCCTCAGGTTCGAGAGCTTGAGAAACAGCTGGGACAGACTCGGAGCCGGTCGGTAGAAACAGCCAGTGATGAGCTGTCTGTCTGTCCCGATCCAAGGAAGCTGTCGGCACAGGAGAAAAATCTGCGGAGGATCCACAACCTGGAGAGGGAAAAACAGGAAAGCTGGGAGGTAACGTGTGCCTGGAAGGAGGTCAGGGGCGCCTGGGGCCAGGAGACCACGACCACCCCTGTGAGGACTTCGAGGCTCTGGGGTTTGGGGTCACCTCTGTGCATGTTCCTCACGTCCTGTCCATCCACCTTGAGCTGCCTGACTGGCTCCTCACCCAGAGCCCATTTCGTGAACGTCGGGTGGCCCCATTCTGGCTGCTTTGGAGATGCTGGACCTGAAAGTAGCTCTTGGTGGAATGAGGCACTTCAGTTTGGAGCCTAGGCTTGGCGCTGTCCACCGAAGATGGCTTTTCTCTTTTTGAGGGTCCTCGGGAGGACACACCCAGCGTTGGCCAGTGGGTTTCCTCTCATGTCCGAGTCTGGCCCCTGTGTTCTCGGGCCGTCATCCATCTGGGTCACGTCCATCATGTGCTTGGGCTGCCTGACACCCCGGGAGGCCGAGGCTGGGAGTCAGGGCTCAGGCTCCACTGACTTGCCCTGTGACCTCAACAAGTCCCCTCCCAGCTCTGGCCTCACCAGCGAGTGAGAGCGAGGGCTCAGCCGTGGCCTGAGTCCCACTCAGCCCTGCAGCCCGTGACCGTGCCCTCTGGTTACAGAAAGTTGCAGCGGAGCGGGATGCCCTCCAGAGAGAGCTCGAAGAGCTGAAAAAGAAGTTTGAGGGTGTGAGGTCCCGGAACAAGGTGCTGTCGAGCGAAGTGAAGACCCTCAGGAGTCAGATGGGGACCCTCGTGGAAAAGGGCCGGCATGACGACGAGCTCATCGACGCCCTCATGGTACAGCCACCCCTGGGACCCCTGCCCCACCCAGAGGCCTGTGACCCAGCCCCAGCCCCCCCCCGGAGCCCTCCCTCGCCCCAAAATGCCACCTGCATAACCCGGGAGCTCATTGCCTCCACTGGGCCCAGCCCCAAAGCTTGGCTGCAAGTACGGGAGCAACTCAGAGGCTGCCCGAGGCCCAGTACAGGTCGCGTTATGTGAGGTTGATGCCAGGCACAAGCCAGTGCACCTGTGGACCCCAAAGGAGAAGAAAGAGGATGAGGGGGGCAGCAGGTGGGATGACACCCTGGGATATTTCTCATGGCGGAATGGAAGGGACAGCTGAGGGGGGCGCTGGTGCATATCCTTGTCTGTGTGACAGCATACATCACCCCCACTTCTGGGCACGTGGGGTGTGGTTTATAATGGTTAGTCACCAAGATAACCCTTAGGGACACATAATCCCATTTCACGGATGGGGAAACCAAGGCTCTAATTGGCTAGATAAGTCATCCAAGGCCACACAACTGAATTCAAACCAGATTTATCTGATCGTAAAACCTCCCTTGATTAACAAAGCCGCACTGCTTTCCTGACCCTGGCCTGGCCTTTTCTCTCTGGGGCCTGAGCCACCCCAGGGTTTTGGTCTCTGAATTCCTAGCTGTGCCCACAGGCCCCTGGTGTGGTCACGACTGGCTTGACGGTGGTGCAAGGGGGAACTGATGCTGGCTTAGGCATGCCTTGGTCCGTAATAATTCACCAGGCAGGGTGGTGGGCAGGGCACAGAAGACCTGAAATCTGGACCCCCTCTGTTCATTCCTCACTGTGTGATTCTAGGCTAATTGCATCCCCTCTCTGAGCCTCAGGTCTCAGTTTTTATTTTATTTTTATAAATCTATTTATTTCATTTATTTATTTTTGGCTGCGTTGGCTCTTCGTCGCTGTGCGCGGGCTTCTCGTTGCGGTGGCTTCTCTTGTTGCGGAGCACGGGCTCTAGGCGCACGGGCTTGAGTAGTTGTGTCACTCAGGCCCAGTACTTGTTGCTCGCAGGCTCTAGAGCGCAGGCTCAGTAGTTGTGGCGCACGGGCTTAGTTGCTCCGCAGCATGTGGGATCTTCCCGGGCCAGGGCTCAAATCCATGTCCCCTGCATTGGCAGGCGGATTCTCAAACACTGCGCCACCAGGGAAGCCTCAGCTCCCAGTTTTTAAATACGGTGTGGGCTGGATGTCCATTGAGGTCCCTGGGGCCACTATTCTTTGTCACTGAAGGTGCATGGTGAGAGCTGCAAACAAGCCCTAGCCCTGCCATTCACCAGCAGTGTGTCCTGGGCTCTCTGGGTCTCCATTTCCTCCCCAAAGAGGTGAAGACAACGCCCTCACCTGTTCCAGGTCGCCAATATGGTCCTTCCCAGCCCCCAGGCAGGAAGCCTCCACCCCAGAGGTCTCCTTGGGAGCATCTCCGGGGATGGGGCCTCCATCAGGTGCTGAAGGATCCGTGGTGAGGGGTCCAGGTACTGCCTTCCAAGGTGGTCTTCCAGCACAGTGGGAGAGGGCTTCTTTTTACCCACTGGCTGAGGGGCCACCATCTGAGCTGTTTTCTGTTGTCCCGAGAGCCCCTTGGATGTCCTTCTTAGCCCCGATCTCAGGGAGAAAGAAGTTGAGGACAGGAAAACCTGGTTGAACGCCGCCCCCCCCCGCCGCCCCTGAGGACAGGCAAGGTGTTCCTCCTGCTTCTCAGGGAAACACTAGCGTCCCACTGTTAGGTTCCCGAGGGAGCAGGGAAGGGGTGGGAGCTGCGGGTGGGAGGAGGCGGTCTTCTCTCATGTCCTTCTTTACCCAGGGCCGTGGCTGACCCTCACCCACCCTCCCACTTGGCCCCGCAGGACCAGCTGAAGCAGCTACAGGAGATTCTGGGCAGCCTGAGCCTGCAGGAGGAGAAGGCGCGAGTGTCCAAGCACCACTTGGACCAGCAGCGCAACAATGAGGCTCAGCAGAGCAGCAGCCTCGTGGCCCAGCTGCGGGCCACGGTGGCTGAGCGGGAGGCCAGGGTGCGGCAGCTGGAGGTGGAGATCGGGCAACTCAGTATGCAGGTGAGTAGGGCGCTGGCTCAGCCCAGCATCCATTCCCAAGTCCTGGCAAGTCCATCCAGTATCCAGAGAAACCTCAGCCACCTCCACTTCTCCCCACCTGCCTTCACTTGGGCTGCGCCATGTCCTACCTGGTCCCACTTTGGCCCCCTGCTTCCATCTGGCTCCCCGGCCCATTGTGCACACACCTTTCCTCTTGAAGGGACACACCAGATGGTCTCCCTGCTCCACATAAAACCTGTCTGTGGCTCCCCATCACTCTCCGCCTCACCCAATCCTCAAGGGTTCGGGCTCCTGCCAGCTCACCCTCTCCCTCCCAGCTGTGGCCTTCGTCCTCATGGTCCAAGATGGTGGCCACAGTGCCAGCCTTTACATCCACATTCCAGGCAGTGGGATGGCAGAAGGGAAGCCACGCTCCTTCGGCCAGTTTGCAGGGTGCCATGTGACTAGCTCCTGCTGCCCGCCCGCCGCATCTTCTCTTCACTCCCCACTTTCCACAACTCTGGCCATGTGGATGCCATTTAGCTCCTCCATGGCCTTGCTTTCTCCCCACTCTGGGCCTGTGCACATGCCTGAAGCACACACCTTCCCTTTCCTCCCCCTCAGCCTTTAGATCTTATTAGTCAAGAGCTCCTCCAGGAAGTTCCAGGGTTCCCATTCTGGGTTATGTGCCCCCCTGGGCACTCTCCTAACTCCCTGTACATTCCCAAGCCAAACTTTGGTCATGCTGTGTGATCAATTTCCCGTTTTCTCCCCCAACCTCTCCTTGAGGGGGAAAAGACCATGGTGCCTGGCCTAAGACTGCGCACACAGTAGTTGCTCAGTCAATACTCGTCTAAGGAGTGAGCTCCTGAAGATATTTTGCCTTGGCAGAGGCCTGGAAGGAACAGCATCTTCACCTCACCACTGTCCTGGCTCCAGGCGCACAAAAAGAAGACTGAGTCTCACCTCAGAGGCCACCGGACAGCTGGGGCCAAGCACTACCCACCAGACAAGCTGGCACACACTGGGAGTTTTCTCAGGATGGGCAGGGCTTGGGGGACAGGCCAGGTTGTTTGGGACTCACGCCAACTGGCCCACCGTTGATGGCAGCCTGACCTCCTGCTGGGGGTCCTGCAGTGCTCCTTCAGCCAGCCCCACCAGCCATCCTGAAGAGGGAGGGATGGGGGAAGGTCTGAGTGTCTCCAGCTGACAAAGGCCAGTGGCCTCAAGTCACACCTGGCATTCATCCATGTGGGTGGGGCTACCTAGAGAGGTGGGCCTGTCCCCATACCTCCCCCTGGGACCTGAATGTGGAACAGCTTCCTGGCCCGGTCACCCTCCTTTGGCCATGAAGCTCCCTTTCTGAAGAGAGGCATTATTAACTGTCATTATAATGCAAGGAGCGCCTTCACCAAACAGGCCTCGCTTTGCACTCCTGAAAAGAAGCCTCTTTCATATCTCCTGAAAGCCCCAAAATCAAGCCAAGGCCCCCCTCCTGCCTTCTCCAGGCCTCTGAGCCAAAGCCCTGAGAATGGAACCCACATCTGTTCCCTGCAGTATCTTCGGAATAAAGGAGTAGGCGAGGGGTCCAGTGGGCCCGAGGTCAACCCGGCCTCCGCCAAGTTCCCCGAGGACTCGGGCCTGACCAATTCCCCGGCCTCAGCAGGCGATCACGCTGGCAGGCTTGGATCTTCTCGGTAAGAAAAAGTGGGAGGGGTTGGAAAGTGAGTATTAATTAATTCAGAAGAAAGGATGGGAAGCCACGGGTGCAATTTTACGATGCCTGTGGTGTTGTCCTCCCAAAGTGGGGCAGCGGGGCGGGGGTGGGGGGGGCTTCCGTCAGCCCTGCATCTGCGTGAAGGAGCCAGTTAGGTCCAGATATTATTACTTCAAGAGCGTTTGGTTGCAGCTCCCTGTAAATTCCTCTCCCAGCTGGCCTCGAATCTCACCTGCTTCTAGGATTCTCAAACACACCTGTGTTGGATTGTTCGAGGCTCTGATGTCCCCTGCTCCTGTCTTGTTTTAAGCAAGCAAGAGTTCTGGAAAGGAGGGCAGCAAATCCACAGGGCTGCTGCAAGGGCCGGTGCTGGCCCCCTCCTCTGGCTCCCCAGTTCCCTGCTGGCCCCTGCTCCCCTCCCAGCTGGGCCCAGCCTTCCTGCCCGTGGTGATGTGCCCGTTCCGCCTTCGCACAGCTCCGTGACCAGCCTGGGCCACACACTGGTGGAATCTGCTCTCACATGGCCTTCCCTGCACAGTCCTCACGGGCCCTCACCCAGGTAGGAACCCAGGCCGCCCCCGCCCCGGGCCCTCACAGGCCTTCCCATCCTTGACTGCTCAGTCAGTATTGCCATCCCATTACAAGGATGGGAAACCGAGGCCAGGCCAAGTCCAGGGACTCTTCCAAGGTTCCATAAGGATATGGAGGGTCAGGGAGGTCCAGTGCCTTATCCAACGTGATAGGGCAAGCGGCTTCAGAACTAGAGTCTTGGTCTAGTGTTCCTTCCTGCTCCCACAGAGTTAACACGAGCAATCTTCCAGGACCTGGAGCCCAGCACCTTCCCTTGCCTCCCCTTGCGCGTTGAGAGTCCATCTCTAGGGGAAGAATTTCACGTCATATGTGTTCCCACTTTAAGCCACTGATATCCCCTCAGCTCTCTGGCCCCCTCTTTGTTGATAGAATCAAGCCTTAGGGCTTAAATGGGCCCTTGTTCTTCCTGCCAGCTCACAGACAAAGGGTGGCTTTGTCCTGCCTCGGAGCCCTGTCCCGAGCCCTAGCCACTGTCCACTGGAGCCACGCTCCTGCTGTCAGCTGCTTCTCGCACCCCTCGGGCAGGTCAGTTCAGGTTCCGGTTGAGCCTCTGAGGGGCCCTCGTCTCACGTTTGATTTGCTGTGTGCCTCTGGCAAATCGGTCCTCCTTGGGCTGCTATTCCCCAAGAAGTGCTTGGGACACTTCTGGCCTGACATTTGGTAGCACAGGTACCCGTGGGCCAAGGCCACCCCTGTGGATGCCCCATCCAGCAGCCTGGGGTCACAAGGGCACTGGGAGAGAGGGGCCCAACTCTGAGCCTCAAGGGCCCATGCCACACTCTTCCAACACCACAAGGAAGACAGACAGGCTCTGTCACTCTGAGGTGGTTGTCACAGTAGTAGAGGCAAGAAGATGGACAAGATGCCCCCAAGGTCCCTTCCAGGCTTATGTGGCCGTGACCTTTGCACTCCACAGGGATACAGGAGCCGATGTGCCCTGGGCTGCCCAAACTGCTGGTTCTTAAGCTTGTTTCTTCCACCACACACAAATATTTACTGAACCCAACCGTGTGCGGGCCCTGCCCTCACGGAGCCTACAGTGCCCTCCCGTCAGTGACAGGACAGACGTTCACGGGGTGGGAGTGACCCCAGAGAGTGTGTCTGTCAGGGCTGGCGTGGCGGCTCTGATGGAGGCAGGCGGGGCAGGGGGATCAGCTCCTCCCCCAACACATGAGATCACGGGGTGACTAGCGCAGGGTTCCCCACTGCGCTGTGCACGCGAATCGGCTGAGGATCTGCCGGGTTAGATGCAGGTTCTGATTCCGCAGGTCAGATCCTGCAGGAAGTGGGATCCTGCAGTTCCAACAAGCTCCCAGGTGATGCCACAGTCGCCGGCTCAAAGACCACACTGAGCGGCAGGGCCTTAGAGTGTATTTAGGAGCCAGAAAATGGAGGAGCCTGTAGTCCTCAGAGCCCATCTCAACCAACCCCTGTTTAGAGGGAGGACTGCGGCCCCGCCCTCCCCATGTCCTGTGATTCTGGAAGAGCGAGTCAGCATCACCAGGGTCTGCCTGGGAAGGGCGAGGGCAGAGCAGAAAGCAGCTTGGCACTCGCACGTGGGCTCTGGGGGCTTGGGGTGGGGGGCAGAGCTCACCTTGGGTCCCAACCCCAGCCAGCAGGTAAGGCCCAGTGGTGAGGAGGGAACTGGTGATGGGCTGGATCAGGGCTGGAGAAAACTGACCAAATTACAAAGCAGGTGTCCAGGGTCCAGGAAAGTGGACTGGGCTTGGGGCCATGCCAGGAGATACAGGAGGGCCAGGACAGGCTGACAGGGAGACAGAGGCTGGGCCTACCTGACACTGAGAAGGGCGGTCAGGTCGCAGGCCACACAGGTTCCCAGGGCACCCCCAGGTCCCCAAGAGCCAACTTCCATAGCCACCAGACTAATCCCAGGCCCCTACAGGGATTGGATGGACAAAGGTGCCGATGAAACTACAGCCCTGCTGGGGTCTGGCTTTGGAGCCAGCTAAGTGAGGCCTAGAGACTTTAGCAGGCCCAGGAATAGTAAATTGAGAAGACGCCAGCGGAAGAGGCCAGGAGGGGCTGGATTGGCTTCTTCTCTCTGGCTCCCTCTGAGGACCCCTGAATGTCCCTCCAGCCCCTCCCACCACCACAGGGATAAGCATCTCTTCAGGTAACCCTTAAATGACCTCTGCCCGCACCTTGGTCCCCAGGTTCTCGGACTCCCCAGAACAAAAAGCCTGGCAGACACAGGTGACAGAGTTCAAAGCCCTGCGGCAGGCCGCTGAGGTGGAGCGTGACCGGCTCACCGAGTTTGTCACTGTTCTGCAGAAACGGTAACACCTGGTGCCAGGGATGCACTCTCACGGGCCTAGGTGGGCTGAGGGTGGGCAGCCTGGCCCAAGGGCATCCCTCTTGGACAGAGGCCGGGCCGCGTCCGTGACTGGGTCCACCTCACTGGTGAGTCTGGCTCCCACAGTGTTGACCCCGGGCATTCCCAGCCACATCTCACGTGACCCTCAAGTGCCCCTCTGTCTCGGGGACCCGTTGTCACACTTGTGGTTTGCCCTGTCCTACGTGCCCCCCATAGGACAGTTGCATGCAGGTGGCTGTGAGGTGGGCATCTCAAGGGAGGGACTCTCTGCAGTAGGTAAATCAGTCAGATCAACTCACCAATAATGAAGATCTTGGATGAGCATGGCACTGCACTCGGTGTCACTGGTGGCTTTGGTGGTAAGAAGTCCCAGGCTAGACTGAGGTCTGGAATTACAAAGAGGAAGAGAGCCACTGATAGATGGGGAGCTGAGACTTCCCTGGTTGGGGGAGGAAAGTACGTGGCCCAAGGCAGTGGACCAGGGGGTTTGGTTTCCTCCAAGGGGTTGTTGACAGATTTCTATTCAGATAAATCAGTGTTCCTTGCTCAAGTGACCCTTTTGGCAAGAACCGTAGGTGCCCAGGCCAACACATGGCCCAACCATGTGACTTCCGCACTGAAAAATATAAAGGACAGCACTGAGTGTCTGCCTGAACAGGCCGTGTCACATGTCAGTCAGGGCTCCTTGGTGACAGACAATAGAAACCAGTTCTGGCTAAATTAAGGGAAAGGAGAGTGTGGGAAGGTGCTGGCCGACTCCAAAGTACTGCCCTCCTTTGCAGGGCAGAAGAGGAGCCCAAGAAGATCCAGGGACCTTGGTAGCAGGAACCCTTGAGTGGTCTCTCCTGGGCCACTGGAACGATGTAGGCCCAGTGGCTTTCAGTTCTTGTGCCAGTGGTTTCTAGGAGAGAAGGTCTAGCTGGCCTGGGGTGCCTCACACGTCCAGCCCTGGACACAAGCCAGGCACCCTGACTGGAAGGACCTCCAGGTGCTGACATAATGGAGGACGGGTGGGAATTCCCTGGCTGTCCAGTGGTTAAGGCTCTGCACTTCCACTGCAGGGGGTGTGGGTTCGATCCCTGGTCAGGGAACTAAGATCCTGCATGCCGTGCAGAGT